ATTAATTGACAAATGTTGAATAATTAAATAATTGGATTGCTTATTAATCGGCTCGAATTAATTAATTGGATTAATTAATTCATAAACTAAATTTAATTAATTTGATTAATTAAATATCAGACCAGATAAAGTTTAGAGATGGGCCGCCCACTTGGGCTTATATTAATAGGCTGCTAGAATTTGTAAATTGAGAATTTTCATTATTCTTGCTAGCACAAGAAAAGAAAACACTAGCCGTCATTCTTGTTCTCTATGTTGATCACAATTGAAGGTTGGGAAATTTGACGGTTTGGATTGCAGATCGTGATCATTGGAGTTCGAGAATCAACAAAAGAGTTTGCAAAATTCATCAAAGGTATTATTCTCATCACAGTTTCAATCTAAACACATTGCAGATCCTCGTTTGGGAATTGAAAATTTTTTAATTTCCGCTGTGCATGTTAAGTAAATTCCCAACACTGTGAGGCCTCTATGATGAAGTTGCGCGCAACAATGCTTGCTTAGATGACTTCGCTGTAGCGGCGCAGTGCATGCTGCTCTACGCAACGCGTAGTAACCACTACAGCAGCCGCGATGAAGCTAAACTCAGCGACCGCAGCAGCACTGGCGATGACATTTTGATTTTAGATCTGGTTTGTGTAGTGGTTCTGGTGGTGGTGGCTGCGGTGGTGATGTTAGAAGTGGTGATGGAGGTGCGAACAGATCTTTCAATTGTTCGAGCTATTGAAGTGGCTTTGGGATGAGTTTTGTTGGTCGTGTTTGTTGATGGTGGTAGTGGTAGTGGTAGTGGTCCTGGCTTTGGTAGTGATGGTGGTTGTGGTTGTGGTTGTGGAGATGAGAGGAGAGGGGAATTTTTTATGATCAATTATTTTGTTGATTGTGATCAATAAATTGGTTAATGTGTGACCAATAAATAATATGTAACAGATGAAATAGACAATTTGTGATCAATAAATATTATGTGACCTATAAAATTTGTGATTCGTGATCGAGAAATAATGTGACCAATTAATTTGATAATTGTAATCGAGAAATAAGTTGTGATTTATAAAATTTGTGATATGTGACTATAATGTATGTAATTGTAACCATAAATTATATAATATGGTGATCTTAATATATTTAATTAATAATCTTAATTAAGACCTAATTTTTGAAACTTTAAAGTAATTTTCTTAATTTTGAAATTGTGTATTATAACAACCTTAAATATGATTTTTTTTTTTTTGGAATAATGATTTCTTAGAGAATATGTTAGGGGTGGACATGGTCCAATTCGATTCGGTTCTAAAGAGAACCGAACCAAACCCGAAATTTTTGAGTATTTAGTAAATTGAATCATCGAGTCTAAATTTAATTACGAAACTGTTCGGGTTAGGTTCCATTTGATTCAATTCAGTTCGATTCTATTCGGTTCTGGGATTCCGTATAATAATTAAAAAAAAATTTATATTACAACAACGCTACATTAATTCGACTATGACATATTCAATCTTAACTCTTACAAAACAACGTAGTCCAATCTCGTAATATCTTTTACACCTCCATTTGTTGAATTCTTCATAAGTTTGACCGTTAAAATCACAGGAAGAGGAAGATGGTCAGTTCACAATAATAGAACGGTAGAAATGACACTACGGTAGAATAAGAGATTTTGATAAAATTTAGGTCAATTTGATTAAGTTGGGCTTAATTGAAAATTAGAAACAGTAAAATCATATTTTGGGTTTGGACTAGATTAATTAGTTAGCAATTTATTTTAAAAAATAAAATAATTTGAATTATTTAAGATAAAAAATTAAAAAATTTAGGGAGATTCGGTTCTTATTCAATTCTTCGATTTTTGGTTTAGAATCGAGAATTGAACCAAACTCATCGATTCTCGATTTAGATACCCGTTCGTGTATTTAACTTAAGAAGAACCGCTCGATTTGATTCAGTTCGGTTCGAGAGTTTTGTTCATCCCTAGAATATGTGGTTAAGCCCCCATTTGACAATCATACTTTTAAAGCTCTTTTTTTTTCATATACTCATTTTCAATCACACATTCACATAATAAAGTATTCTGCATGTAAATTAAAAACTTTTCCCTACCTTTTAATTACACGTTCTCCTAAAAATCACTATTCAAAACTCTATTTTTTCAAAAGTATGGTTGTCAAACAAAGGCTAAAAAATAAGGAAGTTTTTCGATTTACATATAATATTATTTTATGTAAGAATGTGTGATTGAAAATGAGTTTTGAAAAAAAAAATGAGTTTTTGAAAAAAAAATGGGGGCCAAACATTGACTAAAACTAGTGAAATCATTGGCACTGGTCGAGTCTTATGAAAATGGTGAGAAGTGGTTTAACGATGTAGAGAATGGTTACGTTACTGGTGGGTTGTTTTGTAAAAAGATTGAGAATATCGAGCTTTGGGAGCTTCTGTGGAATGGGGCACGGATTTCAAATGCAGTTCATCTAATGAATGTTGTAAAGCTTGTAAAGCCATGCGTACTAGAAATGATGGCATTATCTTTGTGATACCTAGATTTTTTGTAGGAATAAACATGCTCGTGGGAACAAATTCTCTAAGGTAGGTGGTGGTGGTGAGGTTGGGTTGGGTTGAGTTGAGTTAGATTGGGGTTGTATGAAAAGGATTTGTGACCAATTATTTAGGTGATTAGTGTTGGTGGTGGTGATAGGTCACATGTCATATGTGCTTGTGCATACATCACAAATCAAACAAAACTTGTCATTCATTTTGGACATTCATTATACAAAAAATATGTCTCATTAAAACCTTATTAGAAAGATCCTTGTAGGAAAAATCTCAGTGAAGGAAAAATAGTACATTTTTCTTTCAAGTACGCCACAATAAAAATATTACCAGGAAAATCCAATGAGACAAAACCTTGGTCAAAGAGGAAAAAAAAATACAATTTGTATTTGCTCCCCCTCATGATAATATCACTTGAATTATGTTTCAAACATATTAAAATATAAGATAAATTGTTTATAATCACATTTATTACATGCATACCAAATTTTATACATTGTCACGCTAACAAGGTAGAGACTTGTGATTACATTTATCACATGATAATTTATTTATTTATACAAGTTTTCATGGAATTCATTATGTAAAGAGTCGTAAATTTCATATAACAACTTTACTTTTTCTATTTTCATTTCGCATAAATATACACATTTAGGTGTTCAGATTATAGATCCACAAACTTCATATTTCTCTAATAAATTTAATTTTACTAAGATCACGTTCAGAAACTTCAAGTTTCTCTAATAGAATCAATATTAGTATGAACGCGTTATTTTATTTGGTCAATCATTATTTCGATCGATATGTTTCAACGAATTTATTTCAATTCCTCGCTATTCATAGTATAATACAGTACATCATGTGCAAAAGTGTTGTTGACAACTTTTTCTTTTCTTTTTCGATTATATTTCTTTTTCCATAATGACATAACTTATTGAGATATCTTAACTTTCAACATATCAGGTACCTGAATGTCTTTGAGGTTTTTATAATTTATTATGTCTAAATACTCATCAAGAATATATGCCCCCTTAATGGGATCATATTTGCTAATTGTTCCGTTTTCGTTTGGAAATTTTGTATTAGAATCGAATGTCATTACATTTAAGACGTGCCATAAATTTATCAAATATAGGGGGTGTTTGACACCCATTTTAGTAGAAAAATGTGTTTTTAAATAGTGAATGATGGAAGAATGTGTGGTTAAAAAGTAAGGAGAATTTTTAGATTTATGTGTAATATTATTTTATTGATAAAATGTGTGGTTAAAATGAAGAAAGAGAAAAAAAAATGAGAATGAGAATGAGAAAAAAAATGAGTGCCAAACGGGGGCTATAATATTAACTAATTGTCCTTCAAGACGTTAATTTGAGTTGGAGCATTTTAAGTTGGTGTGAGATATTGTTGATATCCTTTCTTAGTAAATGTATATAAATAAATTATATTTCGAACTTCTGGTTCAAATTATCTTTTGCGACGATTTAGATAATGATGTACTTGTACATTATTTTCATTTTCTTAATTTCTCCCCCCTAATGTTAAGAGAATTGTCCAATCAAAATTGACAATCAACAAATTGTGTTATTAAATATCACCCATTTGATATAAGGGTTCAAACTACGCATTTTTTCTTAACATTCTTTACTTTTCATCTCAATGCAATGTGGTTGATTAATTGTACATATATTTAACTATCAAATAATTAGATGA